TTTTTTTTTTTTTTATCGGGCCCAGCTTTAGCTCTGAGGCCTCGCTGCTGAAAACATCGATACAATGTTTCGGTCTGGCTCGCTTTCAGTCTGGCTGGTTTCTGGGGTTTTGTTTAGCTTCTTATTTGCAACATAGTACATAGTTGCTTAGAGTTGCAGCTGAGAGGCCGGCAAGTTAGGCGGGGAACGTTGGAGTCCGCAGTCACTGGAGCAAGCAAGCCTCATGTTTGCTTCCACCTGCCTGGCTGCCGGCTGCCATCTTGGCTGACAGTTAATTTGCATATACTCACTGATTAGCCAATGAAAAGGGTAGCGGTCATACGCTAATTACCATGTTTCTCTTTTATTAGTGTAGATTATCTCATTACTCTTTGGGGATGGGCTCTCTCCTCATGATTGGATCTTTCTTAATCTAGACGCCCTCTCCTAGGGTAGGCCCCTGCCTCAGCTCCAGCGTGAGCCCTGCTCGCCCCAGCACCCAGCTCCCGTCCTTCCTGGCTCTCCTCATTTTATCCGTCTGCGTTTAGTACACTTGTTCAGTTTGCTACTCACCTTCCGCACCAGGGAAGGCCCTGACGGCAGGACCCAGTCTGCTGTGTTCACAACTGTGTTCCCAACAGCAATGCCATGGCAGCACAGAGAGGCCTGAATAAATAGTTGTCGGTGAATCATTTTATTTTATTTTTATTTTATTATTATTGTTGTTGTTGTTGTTGTTAATCCTTGCCCAAGGATATTTTTTTCATTGATTTTTAAAGAGGGTGGAAGGGAGGGAGGGAGAGAGAGAGAGAAACATCGGATGTGAGAAAGACACATCGATTGGTTGCCTCCCAAAAGCACCCGACTGGGCCTGGGGTCGGCCTGCAATCCAGGTATGTGCCCTTGATGGAGAATCGTACCCGAGACTTCAGTGCATGGGCTGACGTGCTACCACTGAGCCACACCGGCCAGGCTCCATGAATCCTTTTAGATGAAAGCTTACCAAATTACTGGAACGCTGCTGAAAAGCTGACGACTGTTTGTTGATTAGGGGAGGTTGGTTCCTGTAAATATTTAAACTTTCACACCAGGGGAGATGCCACAGATCACAAATTCTTGTTCTTTGTAGAAACATACATTTTCCAGCGTTTTGATGGGATGCAGTTTTCTGTTGAAAAATATTGATCTATAATTCTTTTTTTTTCTATCTATAATTCTTGCAGGGCAGTCTGTATTTAAGCCAGTGCGTGCTTTAACATGCAGTTTCCCCAGGAACCCTGTGGGTAAAAAGAGCACATGACTTGGGGTTCCGAGTCTGACCTTCATGGCCTGTTTGCTGTGCGGCCACGGGCTAAGAGGCTTTGCTTCTCTGAGCCTCGTTTTCATTACTTGAAAAATGGAAAAAATGACACTTAAGTAATTCATTGTTCAGGCAAATATTACTTCATGTGTGTCCGCACCGAATTCTGTGGGAGATTTTAAAAAATGAAAGTAGCACACAGCCCTTGCCTTCCAGGAAGTTAGTTTAGTTGGAGAGAGAAGCCATAGCAGGAAAGGTTAGTTGCGTTAAGGCAGCAGGGCTTTGTCCGCAGGGTCAGGCCTCCTAGGGAGTGGGGGTGGCTCTCATCGCTAACTGGATAACAAGCTGACACCCACAGTTCCGAGCGGAACCAGAAGTCCCACGTGGTGGTTTTGTAATAGACTATTTTCATGTTTACCAAGCAGTTGAGGGAGGGGCTAATAGTGTCGATACTCAGAGAACTAACAGGTTGCGTTGAGCTTTGACTAAAATTAATGTTGGAAGTTCTTCCATTTTGAGGCAACTTTGAACCAGTGCAATGGCGACTGCGGTGAGCAGGGCTCCCAAGGATGCTGACCTGTGGGCCTCGCATGACAAAATGCTGGCGCAGCCCCTGAAAGACAGCGACATCGAGGTGAGGCTGTGGGGTCTTCGTGGGTGTCCTTAGATCCCAGTGCCTTGTGTACGTTCTCGTTCTAATCCCAAGTGCCCTTCCTTCAGAACAGCCTTGCAGTTAGTATGAGTGCCAGACTTAGAGGCAGCGGTTGGCAAGTGCTAAGAGCCCTTCCGGGATAAGGATAAGGATGTCTGTGTTTCTGCAAAGTGCAGAGCTCTGTGCTGGATGCTCTGGAGGGACGGGGAAGGTCACTGAGATTTGACCCTTTCTTACAGTTCAGAGGAGTACATTTAGACACCAAGAAGCATCTTTTATTAATGTACTTTTAAAAATATATTTTTATTGATTTCAGGGAGGAAGGAAGAGGGAGATAGAAACATCAATGATGAGAGAGAATCATTGATTGGCTGCCTCCTGCACACTCCCTACTGGGATGGAGCCCACAACCCAGGCAGGTGTCCTGACCAGGAATTAAACTGTGAACTCCTGGGTTCATAGGTCAGTGTTCAACCACTGAGCCACACCAGCCTGGCCTAACCATCTTTTAAGGAAGCTTATTTTATTTTATTTTTTAAATATATTTTATTGATTTTTTAGAGAGGAAGGGAGAGAGATAGTTAGAAACATGGATCAGCTGCCTCCTGCACGCCCCCTACTGGGGATATGCCCGCAACCAAGGTACATGCCCTTGTCCGGAATCGAACCTGGGACCTTTCAGTCCACAGGCCGACGCTCTATCCACTGAGCCAAACCGGTTTCAGCAAGGAAGCTTATTTTAAAGAAGAGAAGCAAGGAATCAGGGAAGGGAAAACTTGGTGAAATGTAAAACTAAAGATAAGATGGTATAGAATTAAAAATTAGGTGAGATACTTATTTTAAGTATATTCTGAGTTTGGTTTTTTGGGTTATGGTCAACCTCTGAGGGCAAAATATGGCGCTTTAACAGTGGCTCTTCTCTTTCCTCAGTCATTGCTGTGATCAGAGTAGAATGTTGAGCTTAGAGGTCCAAATGTTTACGTCTGTTTTCTTCTCTCCAGGTTTACAACATCATTAAGAAGGAGAGTAACCGGCAGAGGGTTGGACTAGAGCTGATCGCCTCAGAGAATTTCGCCAGCCGAGCAGTTTTGGAGGCCCTGGGCTCTTGCTTAAATAACAAGTACTCTGAGGGGTACCCTGGCCAGAGGTATGTGAATGCTCTCTGAGCGCTGCTTCCGGCGGGTGGGCGAGGCACCGAGTCTGCAGCGTGCAGGCCCCGCAGGCTCCTGTCCACGCCTGCGTCCGACACACCTTGTGTGCGGGCCCTGTGACAGCGCCGTGTTCCAGAGCAGCGACGCTCAGGGTCACTAACAGCCCCTGCGCGGCTTTCCTGACGAGCAGGCCAGACCCTATAGAGGAGTGCGGAGCTGCTGAACTGTGGGTGAGCCTCTAGAACAAGGTCAGCAAGTACTCTGAGTGATGCTAGGGGAGGGGGCTGTTGCGTGTGAGTAATCAACGCGGCTTCAGAAGTGGACACTGAACCTGCCGCCGGAAGCGTTTCTGCGTATAAGTGTTGGATTGACACGGGCAGTGATTTGGGTCAACTCCTTCACCTGGAGAACCCAGAGAAGTTACCTCTCTTACAGTCATCACCAGACAAAGTGATGGTTACAGCATCTGACATGTGGTTTTGCAAATTTGTATTTTTGTGTCCCAAAGGACACAGAAAAAGAAGGGTCGCCCTGGGGTTGAACGCATTCTACCCTGGGGTACTTACTCTGCAGCTCTCTGTAGAATGGCCAGACACCGGAGTAGGTGTGCCGAGCCACCTCAGCCAAGGGTTCACAAGCCTGAGGGGGGGCGGCAAAGGATGAAGAAGAGAGAGAATAAACTGGGTCTAGGTAGATCTTCCTGTGCCTGGCTGAGGCCACAGAGAGAGATCCCGACAGCAAGCTGAGCCTTTATTTTATAGCCAGAGGTAAACAAGGTAGTGGTCACCATAGTTACAGCGTTCTTGTGAGTTTCACTTGTTTTGGCAGCACTTGCTGCATCTCCCTCAGCCCATTAGCTACCCAGATAAGATCTAGGGAGCGTCATAAGGTCAAGCCTAATTATGCTAAGAGAACTGTGCCCTCTAAGCTGGGACTTGTTTGTGGCTTTGCCCACAGGTCAGTCTGAGGCTTAACCCTATAGCCGCACCCTACAGTAAGGGCTTGTGTTTCTTCTGCTGTGAATGACTAGCTTTTGCATTGTACCTTGAGGAGGTCAGAGGTCACTGGCTGTTTTCACAACTAATATCTCATTCGATCCTCATGGCCGCCCTGTAGGGAGAGGGGGGCTGTGCTCCATGCTGTAAGGATGGGAGAGCGAAGACTCGCTAAGATTCGGTGACTTTTCAAGTTTGCACACAGGTAGTGGGGCAGGGCCTGGATCCAGATGCTTTCCAGTTGTGGTTTGATAAGAAACATCTGCTCTGTGTCCCTGGTTTCTGGCGCTTGAGCTCCTAAAACTCTTGGAATCTGGTGATAGGATGTCTTATTCATAATGAACACACCTGAGTTTATGTTAAGAGGTGACCCTTGGTGGGCCTCTAGACGGCTTCAGGGTGGGGCTGGTGCCAGAAAGACCAAGGCATGCTGAGAGGGCTGAAGCCGAGTCACCACCACTGGCCAGTGGTTTGGTCAGTCACCTCATAAGGAAGCCTATGGAACCCCGTGCGGTGAGGTTTGCAGAGCTTCCCAGGCGGTGCACGGTTGAGGTGCTGGGAGGGGCCGGCCTGGAGGGCCCGGGAGCGCCAACCCCTTCCCCGCACCGTGCCCCATGCATCTGGCCAGTGATAGTAAGTGAAGTGCTGTCCTGAGTTCCATGGGTCACTTTGGTGAGTTATTGAACGTGAGAGGGTTGTAGGAATCCCATAGTTTGTCAGACAGAAGTGAGCAACCTGGGGACCAGCCATGTGACAGCCTCTGAAGTGGGACGGCCTGGGGGGCTGAGCCCTTGGCCTCAGGGGCTGGGCTGCCCCAGCTGGTCAGTCAAAGCTGAATTGAATTGTAGGATGGTTGGTTGGTGTCAGAACTGGATGGTGTGAGGAAAAACCCCCTCACATTTGACATCAGAAGTGTTGTTACCGGAAAGGGGGCTGAGCCTAGGGCCGGCCGGAGTGTGTGGTTCTTGACCTGGTGCAGGAAAGACGTCACACCATGAGTCCAGGTGACTTTGAGAGGATGTTTATTAAAGCTGGGGCAGTGCAACAAGGAGGGGGCTGGGGTAGAAGCAGCAGGAGAGCCAGGGTGGGGTGCTCTGGTTCACTAAGAAGTCAGAGAAAGGGGGCCCTGGAGACAGGATCAGATCGGAGGGTGAGCCTGGCACGAGCTGCGGCTGCCCATTGCTCCCCTGGTGGGGACCCCATGGAGTGTAGGAGGTGCCCGCCTGCGGCGGGTAGAGGGGAAGGGAAAGGCATGGGCGCGCTCCTGGGAGGGAGAGTGCAGGCTGGGTCCCTCCTGGAGGGTTTAAAGGCTGGGCTTTTAGGGGAGGAATTAAACCCTTTCAGGGTCGTGGCTCCACTAATTGGTCAGCCCCAGGGCAAGGGGTTTAAACTGCATGACCAGCAATATGCCAGGGGAGGAAAGGCCACCCTGGGGCAAGGTCCGCACCAGTTTTGCCCATTGCTAGTCACCCAGGGCTCTGCCCTGCCGACCGTCTGTATCTGCTGGGAATTGCTGGCCAGTTTGTTCAGCTCTCTGCCTCAGTTTCCCCAGCCCACTTGCCAAGGAACTTTCCTAGTTTCCTACTAATCTGCCTTATTGTGAGTAAAACCCCTCATTCATCTTTTTCCTTATTGTGGTAAAATATACATAATAGAAAATTTTCCTTTTTAAGTGTGCAGTTCAGTGGCATTAAGCACATTCACAATATGGTGCAACCATCACCACCATCATCTCCAGAACTTTTTCATTTTGCATAAACAAAACTCTGTACCCATTAAACTGTAACTCCTGCCAGCAAGCACATGAACCAGGTGCTCAACATCACTGAACATCAGGGACGTGCGGATCAAAACCCCAGTGAGCTATTCCCTCACACCCATTAGAACGGCTACTATAGAAACACACACACACACACACACACACACACACACAAGTGTTGGTGAGAATATAGAGGAGTAGCCCTTGTGCGCTGTTGGTAGGGATGTAAAATGTGCAGTCACTGTGGAAAACAGTATGCAGGTTCCTCAAAAAATGAAAAATATATGATCCAGCAATTCCACTTCTGGGTATATATTCCAATAGAATTGAAATCAGGGAATCAAACAGATATTTGTACACCATGTTCATAACAGCATTAGTCACAGTAATCAACATATGGGAGAGACTGAACCAAGATGGCGGCATAGGTAAACACCGGAGATTGCTGCCGCAAACAACCACTTCAAAAATACAACTAAAAGCGGAACGGACATCACCCAGAACCACAGGAAAGCTGGCTGAGGAGAGACTCTTCAACTAGAAGGAAAGACAACAGCATTCCGAGGCTCAGAGGAGGCGCAGTGTGGAAAATACAAAGGTGTGGAGGTGCGTGCGCAGAGCGGGCTGGTGGCTGAGGGCGCAGTTGTCGTTTTCAATCAGGAGGGAGTCTCAGACTCAAATGGGAGAAGCGGGATTGTCTGGCATCAGTTGGAACGTGAGGGCAGCTTTCTCTCCGAGGTTTGTAGCGGTTGCTGGGGTTCTGAGAAGCAGAGCCTCTGGGAACGAGACTGAGAGCAGCCATAACTGCTCCCTCCACCCGCCCTGTTGATCCCCTGCGACCCGCCCCGCCCAAGCCCTGCGCAGAGCCATTTGCCGGATAGCCTCAGGCAAAGGCTAGATTAGCACCTCTCCAGAGGACAGAAGTTTTCCCACGGCAGACACAGCTGATTCTCACAGCCAGTCGGCCTGGTGGTCAAATCCCTCTAGTATTAACTACAACAATCAAGGCTTAACTAGAACAAGACTGCGCACAAAGACCACTAGGGGGTGCACCAAGAAAGCATAAAAAATGCGGAGACAAAAAAACATGACAGGAATGGAGGATACAGAGCTAAAAAACGCAATTTTGAGGGCTTTCAATAATGTGCTAGAAGCTGCCGATAAACTTGATGAGAGCCTCAAGAAAACTAATGAGACCCTCGATGTTGTGATAAAGAACCAACTAGAAATTAAGCATACACTGACTGAAATAAAGAATATTATACAGACTCCCAACAGCAGACCAGAGGAGCGCAAGAATCAAGTCAAAGATTTGAAATGCGAAGAAGCAAAAAACACCCAACCGGAAAAGCAAAATGAAAAAAGAATCCGAAAATACGAAGATAGTGTAAGGAGCCTCTGGGACAGCTTCAAGCGCACTAATATCAGAATTATAGGGGTGCCAGAAGATGAGAGACAGCAAGATATTGAAAACCTATTTGAAGAAATAATGACAGAAAACTTCCCCCACCTGGTGAAAGAAATGGACTTAGAGGTCCAAGAAGCACAGAGAACCCCAAACAAAAGGAATCCAAAGAGGACCACACCAAGATACATCATAATTAAAATGCCAAGAGCAAAAGACAAAGAGAGAATCCTAAAAGCAGCAAGAGAAAGACAGTCAGTTACCTACAAGGGAGTACCCATACGACTGTCAGCTGATTTCTCAACAGAAACTTTGCAGGCCAGAAGGGAATGGCAAGAAATATTCAAAGTGATGAATGCCAAGAACCTACAACCAAGATTACTTTATCCAGCAAAGCTATCATTCAGAATTGAAGGTCAGATAAAGAGCTTCACAGATAAGGAAAAGCTAAAGTTGTTCATCACCACTAAACCAGTATTATACGAAATACTGAAAGGTATCCTTTAAGAAGAGGAAGAAGAAGAAAAAGGTAAAGATACAAATTATGAACAACAAACATGCATCTATCAACAAGTGAATCTAAGAATCAAGTGAATAAATAATCTGATGTACAGAATGAACTGGTGATTATAATGAATCAGGGACATAGAAAGGGAAGGGACTGACTATTCTTGGGGGGGAAAGGGGAGTGGGAGATGCGGGAAGAGACTGGACAAAAATCGTGCACCTATGGATGAGGACAGTGGGTGGGGAGTGAGGGCAGAGGGTGGGGCGGGAACTGGGAGGAGGGGAGTTATGGGGGGGGAAAAAAAGAGGAACAAATGTAATCTGAACAATAAAGATTTAATTAAAAATTAAAAAAAAAACATATGGGAGCAACCCAAGTGTCCATTGATGGACAGGTAGATAAGCAAAGGTGGTCTATCTATAATATAAAAGCGTAATATGCTAGTTAGACCGGACAGCCGAACGATCTTCCGGACGTCCTTCTGGACTAAGCCTCGGCGGCAGGGGCCAAGGCAGAGGCAATTAGGGGCAATCAGGCAGGCAGGCAAGTGGTTAGAGGAGATCAGGCAGACAGGTGAGTAGTTAGGGGCATAAGGCAGGCAGGCAGAGTGGTTAGGGGCGATCAGGCAGGCAAAGGGGTTAGGGGTGATCAGGCAGGCAGGCAGGCAAGCAGTTAGGAGCCAGCGGTCCCAGATTGCGAGAGGGATGTCCAACTGCCAGTTTAGGCCCAATCCCACAGGCCTAAGCCAGCGGTCCCGGATTGCAAGAGGGATGTCCCGGATTGAGAGAGGGTGCAGCTGGGCTGAGGGGTCCCCCACCCCCCCACACGAATTTCGTGCACCGGGCCTCTAGTACATACAATAAAAAAAGAAGAAAATCCTACCACATGATGCAAGGATGAGCCTTGAGGACATTATGCTAAGTGAAATAAACTGGTCACAAGAAGTCAGATACTTTATGATTCCATCTCTGTGAGGTCCCTAGAGTAGTCAAACCATAGAAATGGAACTAGATGGTTGGTTCCTAGGGGCTGGGGGAGGGAGAAATGGGGAGTTGTTCAGCGGGTGTAGTTTCAGTTTTGCAAGATGAAAAAGTTCTAGAACATAAAAAAAAAAAATCACACACAAAAAAAGTTCTAGAGATCTGCTGTGTAACAATGTGAGTACTTATCAACATGAGGCACTTAACACTACTGAACTGTGTGCTTAAAAATGGTCACGATGGTGTGGCCCAGTTGGTTGAGCATCGTCCCATGCACCAAAGGGTGCTGGTTTGATTCCCGGTGGAGGCACATGCCCATGTTGCTGGCTCAGTTCCCGTGGGGGAGCATGCAGGAGCATCGATGTTTCTCTCTCACTCCCTCTCCCTTCTTCTTTCTCTAAAAATCAGTAAAAACATTTTTTTAAAAATGATTAAGATGGTAAATTTTATGTGACTTTTATTATAATTTAAAAATGTAAACACATTTAATTCAAAAAATTTAATTTAAAAAATTTCAAAGCTTTTTGTGACCACAAGGCCTAAGTGTTAAAAATTTCTTCTGGATTGAGTTATTATGATTATTAGTATGTATACCAATAAAAAACATAAATATATGAGAAATTTTGATATGTTATTATTCAGTGAGAAGTAAAATTTTATTAGAAATGCAAAAACCCTCTACCTCTCCCTCCACCCAGCCCCTGGCCAACCACCATTGCACATTCTGTCTCTGATGTGACTGCTCTTGGCACCTTATGTAAGGGGGGCAGTCAGTGCTGAAACGGCTCGTTTCACTTAGCACAATGCTCATGCGAGGTTGGCCCTGCAGCTGACATCAGTTTCCTCGTCGATGAGGAGACACTAACTCAGTGTTGGAGCAGGCACTGAGAAGGCGAGTCCTGTGGCTTCACACCAGGGCTGCACTCCTGTTCCGTCCTGCGCGAGGTTCTTTGGCCTCTGCCAGAGCCGGCCTAAGTCTCCTGCTCTTCTCACGCAGGTATTACGGCGGGACTGAGTTTGTTGATGAGCTGGAGATCCTCTGTCAGAAGCGAGCGCTGCAGGTCTACGGTCTGGACCCCCAGTGCTGGGGGGTCAACGTCCAGCCCTACTCGGGTAACTAACTACCAGGTCCAGGGAGGCCTGGCCAGTGTTCGTGGGGCGGAGCCTACGAAGGGCTGCCCGTACACAAAAGCTAGGAAAAGCCCCTCCTGGCGCGGTTGTCTTTCTCCATGTCCTTGGCTCCCGCTCTTCTCGCCCCTCGAGGATAGTGCCCTGTCTGACCCGCCCCTTCCCTCACTCTCAAAGGGGTTGGTGTGGGGGGACCTCTGGGGGCTCGAGGAATGCAGCATTGTTTCCAGTCCAAAGTCGCGTGCCCCACACTTTGAAAGGCCAAAACTCGGAGTTTGGAGTAAGGAAAGATTTGTCGATCGAGAAGATGGGGCCCTAACCCTCAAACCCATGTTAAGAAAGCAGAGTTGAGGCCCCGCAGACGTCCTCTAGTGATCGGCATGTCCGGAGCAGGCTGGTAGCCTGAAGGCCATGGGAGCCACACAGATTTGAACCTGATGGAGTCGGAGACGGAGCATCTCACTCTGTTCCATATGGTGGCCACTTCTGGTGGATGGCCTAGTGGCCGAGCTTGGGGTCCTGCCAGGTGCCGCACGGGCAGAAGCAATTGTACGCCCTCTGGTCTGCCCGGTCCAGGCTCCCCTGCCAACTTCGCAGTGTACACCGCCCTGGTGGAACCCCACGGGCGCATCATGGGCCTGGACCTGCCCGACGGAGGCCACCTGACCCACGGGTTCATGACGGACAAGAAGAAAATCTCTGCTACATCCATCTTTTTTGAATCTATGCCCTATAAGGTAAGAGTGCCCCTCTCTCCACAGCCCCACCGTCTGTCTCCTCAGGAAGCCGCCAGTGTGTGGCTGCACCAGTAGGAATGAGTTGTTCACCTGGCACCAGGGGAAGTCCCCACTCTCACCATCTGTCATTTCCCTGCGCTGGGGACTCCTCGGGCATACAGGGCAGGCTGGGGGCGGTTGGGGAGGCAACTGCGTAGGGGGTTCCAGCCACAGCAAGGCTGCCAGCTGCTCCAGAACGAGGGGCAGTGACAGCTCCCAACAACCAGGTGCCCCAGCTGGACCCCTAGTGACAGCAGGTGCAGTGGAGCTCCCGCCGCCGCCAGCAGCCCCCACCAGCACCTCGTCAGCCTCCTGAGCCAGGCCTGATGCCCATCGCGGGACCAGCACATGTTTATGTGGGGCTCTTGTCATTACAAACAGTTTCGTGTAAAAAAAAAAAAAAAACACATGTCAGGCCCTGGCCGGGTAGTTCAGTTGGTTAGAGCATCATCCTGATATGCCAGGGGTGAGGGTCCCATCCCCAATCAGGGCACATACAGGAGCAACCAATAGTGCGTGAATGGGTGGACAACAATCAGTGTCTCTCCCCCTCCCTCTCTAAATTAAATAAAGAAAAGTGTAGCTGCATGTGAGATCCGTGGGCTCCTGAGGGGGCGCAGGGAGTTCGCCGTGGAGATGCGTAGAGAGATGGTACAAAGAGGTGACTTGCCCATGTGCTCATGGTACACCCTGTGCACCTGATTCTCCTCGTGCCCGGGACTCTCTCCTCGCGGCGCGTATTCAGTGGGCCGTCCCTGGTTCCTTTCATACGTCCCATCAGAGCAAAGGCAGCCATGCACTATTCCGCGTGGTTGAATATCAGACACACAATGTTATCCTTTTAAGAAAATCAAGCTGCCCGGACCGTGTGGTTCAGTGAAGTGTCCTCTGTACACTGAGAGGTGATCCCGGTCAGGGCACATATGCAGGTTTTGGGTTCAATCCCTGGTGGCAGTATGAGGAGGAAACCAGTTGATGTTTCTCTCTCCCCCTCTCCCTTCCCCTCTCTTTCTAAAAACAAACAAAAAACACAAAAGACAATAAAAACATATTTAGCCCTGGCTGGAGCTACGTGGTTAGAGTGTTGGCCTGTGCTCACAGTTCGATTCCTGGTCAAGGGCATGTACCTGGGTTTTGGGTTCAGTCCCCACCCCGTTGGGACACGTGCAGGAGGCAACCAGTCGGTGTGTCTCTCTCACATCGCTGTAATGTTTCTCCCTTCCTCCCTCCCTTCCACTCTCTCTGAAAAATAATGGGAAAAATATCCTCTGGTGAGGACTAACAACAACAAAAACATATTTAAGAAAGAAAGAAAGCCGTGGCCGGTGTGGCTCAGTTGAGTGTTGACCTACGAACTGGTCAGGGCACATGCCCGGTTGGGGCTGGATCCCCAGTCGGCGGTTCCGGAGGCAAAAACAAGCCATCGATCTCTCTCTCGGCGTTTTCAGCGTTGTTGCATATCCTTGATTGTTTGCTGTTTTGTTTTGTTGTGTGTTTTATCTAAGGATATTTTTCCATTGATTTTTAGAGAGTGGAAGAGAGAGAAAAAGACAGAAATATCAATGTGAGAGAGACACATCGATTGGTTGCCTGCTGTACATGCCCTGACCAGGGCCCGGGTCAGGAAAGAGCCTGCAACCAAGGTACATGCCCTTGACCAGAATTGAAGCTGGGAACCTTGGTCCGCAGGCCAACGCTCTATCCACAGAGCCAAACTGGCTAGGGCTGTTTGCTGTTTTATTAGCCTTTGTCTCAGTTCTAGCAATTGCACATATGCTTTTTTTTTTTTTCATTGATTTTGAGGGGAGAGAGGAAGAGGAGGGGGCATCGATTTGTTGTTTCACTTACGTGTGACTCACTGGTTGCTTCTTGTTTGTGCCCTGACCAGAGATCAAACCCGCAGCCTTGGCGTATCAGGACTATGCTCTGACCTACTGAGCTACCGGCCAGGGCATATGCTCTTTGAGTGCACGTGCTGGCTCGTTGCTTTCCATGGAAAGCCTTGGTGTTTCCAGTGACGATGTCTGCACTGGCAGTGCTGACCTTGAACGTGGAAACAGGACATTAGTAATACAATGCTCTGTCTTTGCACTGAGCACAAAAGCCGGTTCCTGGTTTCTTTCACCAGGGAAAGCATGGTGGCAGAGGAGCCACGGGCTTGTTCTTCAACCTTCAGGGGGGCCTTTGGGGAGCCTCCTGCTCTTTAGCCCAATGTCTGCTGTTATTGAAGTCTTCCTGGCATTAGCAAGCCTGGGGCTGCACCCCAGTTACCCCCACAGCCACCCTCTTTGATACGCACTGTGCAGGCTGCAGTCCCATGGACACACGAGAGGCCAGCCCAGTGGTGGGCCTGTGGGGTGTGGAGTGGCTGGGACCGGGACCCTGGCCAGCTTGGCCGGCTCACCTGCTGGAGGGCGGCTGTGGGCACCGGCCTTGGTGGTCAGGCAGGAGGACACAAACCTGATGGGCCTTCAGCAGCAACTGTTACCCATCAGGCTGCTTTCTCGCCCAGCCATTCAGCCCTTCAGCCCTGCCCCCTGGGACTTTCACACCAGGCTCCGCCCACCCCTGGGCCAGGCCGTCCATCTCTATGGAGAAACAGCTGGCTCGTGCACCTGCTGTCGCTCTCCCCCGACTAGAACCTCCTCCCGCTGGGCCTGTGCCTGGAGGGGCTCCTTCCCTCCATCCGAGGCCTCCACTCTGCTCTGGCCACAGGGCAGTTGGTTACATGCCTGTGAATTCTTCCAGGAGCTGTTTTATTGCCGAATTTTTGAAATTTAAACAAACAAACAAACAAAAACACTTAAAAAATATCCCACAAGTTTCAAAAGCAAAATGTGCAGGGAGAGAGTAGCAGCTGATTCTTTTGGGTAATTATGTCCTCTAAAATTTTATAGAATGTCCATTTTTTTTAATGTGGATCAGCCATTGATTTTTCAGTTAATAGTGTCTTTGCTGAGTTTAGGTGACTAAGAAAGAATCAGCTGCATCCTTAAAACAAAACATACAACAAAACCACAAATCGTCTTTCAGCCTGCTTTCCAGATGACTCCTTGGTTCCCAGAACCTTGCACACACACATCTGTGATTGTGTTGAACTGAAAGCATTTTTTTTATTTGGAAAGGGTGACCACCTAACCCCAAATCCTTCCCTCCATGGGGTGGGGCTTCCACAGGAGAAGTTTCTCACCACCTCCTCCCCGAGGGCTCCCATGCCCCCCACACCCCTAAGTCTTTCCTACAGTAACCCCCTGAGATTTTTTTTTCAAATATGTTTTTATTGATTTCAGAGAGAGATAGAAACATCCAAGAGAAAGAAACACGGATCGGCTGCTTCCTGCACGCCCCACACTGGGGATCGAGCCCACAACCTGGGCATGTGCCCTGACTGGGAATCAAACCCTGACCTCCTGGTGCCTGGGATGACCCTCAACCCCTGAGCCACACCGGCCCCCTGTGACTATTTTTACTTCCTGTTAGCATAAATGCTTTAACATAACTTTAATAAGTTGAACTTACTAAGAAATGTGCTGCCAAAAAAGAGAAAAGTTGTCTTACCATCTGCACTCCATCTGGAATTGAATTGGTTTCTGGAGGCCAGCGGTGGCTGCGGTAGGCATCCAGCTGACCTCGTGCCATGCGTTGGCAGGCCTAGCTGCCCTGCAGCCCCGCACCGCCTGGGCGGCAGCCTGTCCAGCCGGCTCTCCCCGCCCGCCCGCCCTGCTGCCACACTGCCCTCCCCACGCACAGCCTTCATTCTGTCACTTTGAGTGCTTTCACATTTCTCTCAATAATGCTCCGGGTAGCGGTCTTGCACATCTTTTGTTAGATATTTTATGGCTTTTGAAACTAATGAATGATATAAGTGATTTATTTCATTTTCTGTTTTTCGCTGCTCATAGATACGAATATAATTGACTTTTTAATTGGCTTTTGATCCTACATCCAGTGCCTCACTAAATGCAGTTCCTAGTTCTGGTAGCTGCATCTAGAGTCTTGGATGTCCTAGGTTTACAAGCAGTGAGTGAGGTCAGCTCTGGGGCTTTCTAATCCCACGACTTTCTCTCTGGGGCCTCCCTGGGCTGCGACTGAGGAGCCGTTGGTGGGCCCTCTGGCTCCTTCCTGAAGGCGCTCCCTCGGCACCTGCATGTGGGGTGCTCGCTCGCCTCGCTCCTGTTGCTCCGCAGTGGCTTCCTAGTTCCTTCTCATCCCAGGAGACCCCTGGGGGCGGGGCTCACTTTCCCGGAATCCCTCGGGGCTTGGTGGGTCTGTGAGTGAGACTTGGTTGTCGGCACCACAGGGGCATGCCACATGAGGGTACCCCACCTCACCCTCAAGCCTGGCCTGGGCACCTTCCTGTCTTCATGGCGGAGAGGAGCAGGCAGCTTTGGGCAGGTGGAAGGAGTCGCCTGATCCTTGACGGCCAGTGCCAGTCCCGGGGGAGGCCTGTGGGGAGGGTGCAGGCGCCTGAGCCTGCGTGTCCATGGCTTCCCACAGGTGAACCCCGACACTGGCTACATCAACTACGACCAGCTGGAGGAAAACGCCCGCCTCTTCCACCCGAGGCTCATTATCGCAGGTGAAGAACCTCATTACCGCAGGGGATGGGCCTCATTACCGCAGGGGATGGGCCTCATGACCGCAGGGGATGGCCCTCATTACCGCAGGGGCTGGGCCTCATGACCGCAGGGGATGGGCCTCATGACCGCAGGGGATGGACCTCATGACCGCAGGGGATGGGCCTCATGCCCGCAGGGGATGGGCCTCATGCCCGCAGGGGATGAACGGCGGGAAGCAGCGGTGGGAGCTCCCAGTCCTCGCCCCGTCCTGCTCACTGCTGGTTTCTGCCTGGATGGCTGAGCTTCTTGGGTCTAAGTGTACCCTTCTCTCAGAACAGATGTCCGTTTTGCCACAATAAGCCGCTGGTGGAATAGGTCCGAGGCTGTTCCCGGAGAAGCATCTAGAAATGTTAATCCCTGACTGACTGGGGGTGGGGGGCCGTCCCCACCACCAGGGCATGGAAGAGACAGAGATCAGAGTGGCTGCCTTGACACCAGATGTTTTTCGAGAACATCCTTCATTTCTGTCCTCAGATTGTGGAGGGAGAAGTCTCCAGGCTTTCAGATGTGCAGATCGGCGGCCACCGTGCCGCGGCCGCAGTTGGCTGTGGGTATCTCTGACTACAGGGTCACTTTTGCCATCTTAGGAACCAGCTGCTACTCCCGAAACCTGGACTACGCTCGATTGCGGAAGATTGCCGATGACAACGGGGCGTATCTCATGGCCGACATGGCGCACATCAGCGGGCTGGTGGCGGCTGGCGTGGTGCCCTCCCCCTTCGAACACTGCCACGTGGTGTCCACCACCACCCACAAGACCCTTCGAGGCTGCCGCGCGGGCATGATCTTCTACAGGCGAGGTGTGCTCCTCCGTGTGGCGGCCGTGCGGGAGGGGCCGGTTCCTCCCCTCGGTGTTCACATCCGCTTACGGGGCTGGGGAAACTATGGCCTGGGGTGCCTTGAAGACATGAGGGGTAATGACAGCTGTTCAGGGGACCTGGAGAGCCGCCCGGAGCGCAGCTGTCGGACCTGGGGGAGGAGCAGGGCATCGTGCCAGGCGGCCTCCTGGTGCGGCAGGTGCCGGAAGGGAAGGAAGACGTGCACGGCTGGCCAAGGCAGCCAGGGGCGCCGGCACAGAATTACTTTGGTGAACTTGCCATGTTCCTTCTAGAGAAAGACTCCCAGTAGTCAAGCTGTAAGGCCTCGTACAAGTCATAGCGCGTTTATCACTGCAGTAAGGAGTTTCCCTCTCCAGTAATGGGATGCTTCCAGCCCACATGTATGTGGGAGCCCCCATATTTTGGGATTCCCACATGTGAGAGCCGTGTGGGCCTGTGCAGGGGCCTGGCGTCCGCAGAGAAGCCACCCTCGGGAGACGGGGTCTCTCGAACCCCGTCAGCAGCTCCTCCCCGGCCCTGCCCGGCCACCCGTGTACAGTGGCGCCTCTGCACCCTGCGGTCCTTTCCGTGCGCTGAGGTGTCTGGGGCAGGTCGCCCTCCTCCCGCCTGGGCGATGGTTGCCGACTCAGCCAGCTGGACTCGCGGGGCTGGGGCCAGCGGTGAGCCTCTGCCCCTCCCTCAGCTCCGGGCAGGACCAGCAGCAGCGCCTGCCTTGGCCGGCTGCGGTGAGGATGTAACGGTTAACGCAGGCAGAGTGCTGAGAGCCGCTCTGCACACATCAGTGCTCCTAGTGCTGGTTAGTAACCTCCTCCCCAGGGAGCGTAGTCCGTCTCCAGCCACATGAGCCTTGTCTCCTCAGAGTGGTCATCCTGCAGAGCGCCCTCTGGCTTCTCTGAGGAGATGTGCCCAGGGCGTGTTCTTTGTGAGGGTCTCTCTCTCTTGGAGGGAAATGTTCGTCATTTCATTCCATCTGTGAAAGGGCAGGCTGCCCACCTGGCAGCCAGCGCCCTCTCTGCCCACAGCATGTCATGCAGGTCTCCCCTCCAGGAGGAGCGCCCACAGCTCCGCAGTCCGGGTTTGAGTCCAGGCAGAGAAAACAGCCCATCGGTGGTTCCCGTTCTGATCTTTTTCTTCATCCAGGAGTGCGCAGCACGGACCCCAAAACCGGCAAAGAGATCCTGTACAACCTGGAGTCGCTCATCAACTCTGCTGTGTTCCCAGGGCTGCAGGGAGGGCCCCACAACCACGCCATTGCTGGTAGGACCTCCAGAAACCCACCCCGAGCCTCGGAGGCTGTCCCTTCACCCACAGCAGCCCCCGTGCCGCCAGCCCCCCTTCTGTTCGCTGTGGCCCCGACTCCCCCCCACCTACCCACCAGAGTCGTGCCAGGACTTCCACGCTGGGGAGAAACGAGAGGAATGCCCCCGTCTAGGAGATGCTAACAAGGAAGCCCAGGGAAACGGGACTGTCACAAGGCAGGGACACGTGTGGCCGCCCTCGGGGAAGCCGAGCCCGGCCGGTCTGTGTGGAGCTCTCTTTAAGAACAGGGGAGGATTTGACAGCTGGAAGAGACATGGCAAAGGGAGGGGGCTAGCAAGGACAAAAAGCCTCTCCCCTGACCTGTGGGGGAGGGGCACCTGTGTCGGGTCCTAGGACCGCTGGCCTTGGGCCCGCACCTGTGGCTCCTGGGCCCGATTCCAGGACCCCAGCACGCAGTCCTGACTCATTCCCTCTCAGTACAAGCGGCTCAGAAAACCTGTGACGACCTCAGTTACTCCACTCTCTTCTTTGGAACAAAGCAGTTGCTAGGAGAGCCCAGGACAAAGGTCTAACCTGTATCATGAGAAGCACTAGTGTTCCCCAGAGGGAGGGGGGCAGAGCGGGGAGGTCAGGCACCAGGCAGTGGGCGGCCCGGCACCTCCCGGGGGTTTCCTGTCCCATTTTGTACCCACAAGCTCAGCATCTGCAGTTTCTTCCGCCCTCAGAGGATGGCATCGCCCAGCCTCCAGCCACACTGACTGGAGCCTCTGGCGGGACGCAGCACGTGCATTTTGCATTCTCCTCCATTTCTGTGCCCCGTAAGCAGCCGCAGGATTGAACACAGGCCTGCACCCTCACCTAGAATCTGATCTGAAAGGGCTGCGTAATTTGGCACCAACGCCCAGCTTTAAGCAGCGTTTTCATCCATGGAGCGTAGAGGACCGCCTGCAAGCTCTGCCTCACTTAGAACAGCTCTCCTGTGAAAGCTTACCAGCACCAAACTCCCACGCCTGGGAGAAAGGCTGCCTCAAAAGCACATCCTCAAACAGATGTCTGGCAGCGTGGCCGGGTCATTGTAGGGTCAGAAATATGTGTCATTTGGGGGATGTCATCCACCCCTTTCCGTGACAGCGGAAAACAAGCCCGAGCAGAGCCAGGTCTCTGAGTCTCAGCCTGTGTTTTGCCCCGTCCCGTCTCCTGACCACTGTCTCCCTGCAGGGGTGGCCGTGGCTCTGAAGCAGGCCATGACTCCAGAGTTCCGGGTGTACCAGCAGCAGGTGGTGGCCAACTGCAGGGCGCTGGCTGAGGCCCTGACGGAGCTGGGCTACAAAATAGTAACAGGTACAACAGAAACTTGGGTGGCACCCACTCACCTCGGCCGTGACCCTGCTGCTTCTGATTCATCCAGGCAGGTGTGGCTGTAGCAGGGCCCTGGGCTGCGGCTGCAGGGTATGAGTCAGGCACCTCCAGAGGCGTTGCTGTGCCCTGCGGCCTTCCCCTCCTCACACGGGGACAGCTGCCTCCCCTGCTGGGCCAGTGAGGCCTAAGGAGTCCCTGAGCTCACCGAGAGGCTGGGAACTGCGCTCACATGCGGTGGGTGGCAGCGCCAGGGCCTTCCCCACAGCGGTGCCTGGCATGGTCTGCAGGACTGACCCCACTCACCCCAAGGGCCACGGTGCAGTGGACCAGCTGCCGGGAGGCCAGGGAGTTCAGACCCCGCTATGCTCGCCTTTGCCTTAACTCAGAGATGGCGGCCCTGAGTGAGCCGTGCCCAGTCCCTGCCCAGTCCCTGCGGGCTGAGTCAGCATGGCCCGGGTGCTGGCAGGCAGCATGGCCCGGGTGCTGGCAGGCAGTGAGCGTACTTAGCTACTGAGAGGAAGGGCAGCTTTCTTGGGCTCGCCGGCTGCCATCTGTGCCAGCAGAGGTGGCCCAGGAAGGTGGGTCCTGGTCCCCTGTGGATGCAGGTGCCTGCCCCTGCCTGCTGCCTTTACAGGCCCTTGTCTGAGGAGCGGGCTCCCAACTAGGCCGGTGAGCAGCTGAGCTGGGCAAATGCCATGTTCTCAGCCATGTTCTCTGAGAAGCATCTCTTTCCTTCACTTCCTTTCTTTGCGTTCTCCTCCCTCCTCCACATCTTGCGGGAAGAAAGCCCCAGGGTTCTGTCTGGCCTGTGACCTTCCAGGTTCTCTAAGTCACTGTTTCTCAAACGTGGATGTGCATATTAATGCAGGCCTGGGCGGGCTCTGCCTCCAGCCAGCTCCCAGGTGATGCTGGTCGGGAGCCAGGCTTGGTTGGCATTACCAGGATTTAGGCCAAACTCCATCTGATACAGGCACCCCCCACAGCCCTGCTGCTCAGAGCCTCTTGTGAGTCCCCCACTTCCTGAGCTCCTGGCCTGTCCTCACCCCTCATTCACTCTGCTCTGAAGACTGAAGCAGGTCATGGTCACTGTGATGGCAGCCAGCATATCTGGGTACCAACCTGCCTGGCGCTAGCCAAGCACGATTCACAGGCCTTTATTTAAACCTCACGACAGCCTTGCATATTGTTGGTCTTAGGTTACAGATGGGCATCTGAGGTTCCACAATGCTGAGCTGCCTGCCTAAAGCCATGGCCAGAAAGTGGGAGGCTGTGGGGACTGTGCCTTAAGCTTTGGGCTGTGAGGTCCAGAGCTAAGCACTGACTTGGTTTGTGGCATCTTTGAAGTCACAGCTGTTGCCCAAGTCAGTGACTTGGTATTAATGAGAGTTCAAAGTGGAAAGATCCGGGTACTGTAGTTGGAAGATTTCTGGGCGCTTGGGCCAGTTGCAGAATGTTCTTGTCGCCTCGCCATCTTCACCTGCACCACTCTGCTACGATCCCCTTCGCAGGAGTAGAGATCAGATATGACAGCTAGTAGTGCTGGCGCCCAACACGTGCTTAGCAGCGGGAGCGGGTACCCGCTGTCTCATAAACGGGACCACCCCTGCTGCCTCGGAGGGAGCTTGAAGATTGGCTTCAGAGACGGGTGGGGACTGCCCAGGTGATGTGTCAGAGAAGGCGGAATCCTGAGCGGCACTGAGTGAGCCGCCCTCCCAGGCAGCGGAGGCCCTTGCCGGGCAGCCGGTGGCTGGGTCTTTGCAGTGGGCAGGCTGGTCATTCTCCCCTCAGCCTCAGCCTCAGCATCGCCGAGCACCCTACACCACTCGGCCCTTTCTGTTCAGCTCTCGGGTCCTGAGCGTCTTTCCTTGAGGCAAGTGAAGCCTTCCAGGACACATGGTGGGGCTCACTGTCTGCCCCATCTGCTTCAGCCCCCGTCCTCCCAGCCCATTCCTAGGACAGAGAAATTCCCCCGCTCGCGTGGAGTCACCATCTGCATCCTTACATGTCCAACTTGGCTTCCAGGTGGTTCTGACAACCATTTGATCCTCGTGGATCTCCGTTCCAAAGGCACAGATGGTGGCCGGGCTGAGAAGGTGCTAGAAGCCTGTTCTATTGCTTGCAACAAGAACACCTGCCCAGGTGCGAATCCTCCTCGCTCTTCTCTTCCACACTTGTCTGCACTTCCGGGCTGTTACAGCTGTGATACCTGGCTCAGATGCTCGGGGAATGCCTGTGCCGTGGCGGGTGGGAGCTCAGCGGGGGTTCTCCTGGGCTGCCTCGCCCGGCTCCAGCCAGGACCGGGCGAGGGGGTGCTGAGAAGTGAGAAGGCTTTTCAGGGAGGGAGGCCGGGTCGCTGGAAAGCAGGCTGGCTCTCGGTAGGTTGTTAACGAGGATGGTGATGCAATCCAAACCCAGAGGCTGGCCTCGTTTTTAGGAGCAAAGGCCACGTCACAGAAGGTGACTTTCTTACTGTTAAAGCAGAGCCCTCAGTGTGCCGCTGCCTGCGCCTTGCTCCTGCCTGTCCCGTGGGAGTCGGTGCCCGTCTCACCAGACACACTGGCATCTGCAGGCCTGTTCTTTTGCCCAAGGGTCCCTTTTCAACGCACAGTGGTCAGAGGTGAGTTTGAGTGCGGCCCAGGTTCAGAGCCTGTTTCTGTTGAAGGTGACAGAAGCGCCCTGCGGCCCAGTGGGCTGCGACTGGGGACCCCAGCACTGACATCCCGAGGACTTCTGGAAACAGAGTTCCGGAAAGTAGCCCACTTTATTCACAAAGGTAAGGATATCGATTTGGAAGTTTGACACCTCATACTGTGTGTATGGAGTCTCTGAACAGTGGCGACCCAGCCACTGAGGGACGCTTCTGTGTCAAGGCTGAGTGTTGGGGACAGGCAACAGCAGAAATCACTTAGCAAACCATTGATCTGAAACCTTTGTAAACTTGTCCTGCTCACGGAGGGTGCATACAAGAATCATTTCTGGGGTGAACATGAACCCCTCCGGCTGTCACCCCCAGCTGGGCTATCTGGGTCTTGGGTGTGTCTCCTGGTCCCAGAGGACTCATTTATGTGCCACACAGGGATAGAACTGACTCTGCAGATCCAGAAGGACGCTGGGGACAAGGCCAGCCTGAAGGAGTTCAAGGAGAAGCTAGCAGGGGATGAGCGGCACCGTGGGGCCGCCCGAGCCCTCCGGGAGGAGGTGGAGAGCTTCGCGTCTCTCTTCCCTCTGCCCGGCCTGCCGGGCTTTTAGAGGAGCCACCGGCCGCACCTGCCCCACCGCGGGAGCGTCAGGACCAAGGACACAGGGCCCTTGAGGAGAAGCACCACCCCACACAGGACCTGGTCAGCTTCTGGGTGCTCTCCGCAGAGGTTTCTTTGGGACTTTTCTCATGTTATCTTCACAAATCAAAATCTGCTTAAGCCCCACCGTTAGTAATTCTGGGACCAATTATTAAGGAGTATAAATCTAAACCTCACTTTCTCACAGCTGTTATAGTTATTCTGTAAAAATGAATCCTACTTAGCCTTCATTCATTGGGACAGTGGGTAGGGCAGAGCTAATGGAATGATTCCAGGACCTTTACTTCCCTTCTCGTAGTTACTGGGCTTCCTGACTCACTGCAGCAGCTAAGAAACACCCAAGCTTGTCGCGTGTTCCCCGGTGGGACAGCAAAGGAAACTGAACCACGACCTTACAACTGCAGAGGGAAACCTGACCCTCTGCTCTGTGCTTTGGCTCAGAATTCTCAGTCAGACGTGCCCGTAGAGGTGCCCCAGGCCGCAGTGGTCCTCGCCCTTCAGCTGGGCAGGTGGGAGAGCCTAGGGTCCGCAGCCTCCTGGGGAGCCTCAGCCAGGGACCTTCGTCCTGCGAGAGAACTCCCTCCTGTGATCAAGAAGCCAAATGTCACCTTCCCAGAGAAACTTTATTTTTCATAAAGCTGAAGTGCAAAACATAAATGACCATTTTTAATAAGCACAAATTTTTAACCACAGAATGTCTACAAGAATTACAGCTTTAAAAAATACAACCAATTTTTATATTTCAAAAATAACTCAAATAAATTAATTTCTTAAAAAGTACACTTCTCGTACTGTTTGTTTGGCATTTGCTCTGGTTGAACTCCGGTGCAACCGTACCTGGGAGCCGCTGTCACCGGGTCTCTGTCATACTCTTGCCACTGTGACGACTGCAGCTCACGTGCTGGTCAGACTCCCATTCACAGACGTGGACAGAAACATGCAGTAATAAAATACTTTCCAAAAATAACAAAGGAGATTTCCTCACAGACGATGCTTGTCACTGCAGCCTTACAGGCGGCATCTCTCAGCCCGACTGTGCAGCCACCAGCAGCGCCGGGCAGTCGGTGGCCGAGGCTCCCTGTGGTCCCGCCTGGAAGGCACCTGTGGCCTAGTGTCCAGTGTGTTGGCGATTGCTCCAGCGCAGTCTCTGGGTGAGTGCACGCGGGTACCCACATCTATGCCTCAATCTGGGAGCTGTTACATTGCTCAAAGGCTTACCTTTAGGGGCTTGTTTCTTCCCCAGCTGAAGACGAAGGGACATATCCAAGACCCCTTGTGTAGCCCCAGAAGCCAGGGCTCCCCACCAGCAGCAAAGTGCCCATTCCCTCTCTCCTGCGTCCTCCTCCCGTGTGTAACAGCCTTACTAGGTGAGGCCATGTTAGGTCAGTGCTCAACAGAGAAAGGCTCAGGAAACCTTGGTGTGCTCCAGCCTTATCAGCTGAGACCGGTTTTGTTTCTAGCCAGAAGCAGAAACTTGATGCTTTTTCCTTATCTCTTTTAAAGATTCCAGTTTTTTCACTTTAACAGTATTGGAGAAAAATCAGAAAGCTGGCTGGTTTGATTCAAAGCACGAACCAAAACACATTCTTCTGAAATAGGAGGTAGCATCTGATTGCTAGCTTGGGGAATCAGTGCCTCTGAAGTCCCCCCACCCCCGGCTGGCCACCAGCTGAGTGCTACCACCTGTGCAAAGATGACGTAGCAGCAGCTGGCCTGCCCTGCAGCATCGGGCCAGGGAGTGGGGCAGGCGGTGGTCAGTGCAAAGGCAAGATCTTTAAGACCACTCTTGGCCTCCAGACACACATCTGTACCACAACAGGCCTGGCATTTGGGGTAGAAATATTGGCCTTCCTTGGATTTTGAAATGGGATTTGTTGTTTGTTGGGGGTTGAAGTCTACTATACTTTGAATACAATAACCTGAAATAAAGTTAAAAGCTAACTAGGAAATAACAGGTGAGCTACCATGGCCCATTTCCAAATCGGGTGTAATGTGTATAACTTCAGCCATTGCAGTCAATTTGGAAAAGTCACAATTTCTAAACTTCAAGGATCCCACTACAGGAGCAAGGTCCCTGGGTGCTGTGACGCTTCAGCCGTGCGCTAACGGAGCTCCTGGGGGGTCACTACGTGACTGCAGCCCAGGCAGCTTTGTGACCGGGGGCTGCGTGGACAAAGGGAAGGGAGGCAGGTAAAGGAAGTAAAGAAAACTCAGTTTCAGTGCCTGGGCCTTTGTGGAACTAAAGAATTAATAGGGGCACTGATGTCCTTGATTGTCTGGGAAGTGTTTGTAAATGTTTTATTAACACTGGGCTATACTACAGGACAACATCAAACCACAGTTCTTGAAGAAACGATCAGTCCGTTGCATAGGGCTCCCCACCATTACCCTTTATAGCCGCATCTGGTAGGTCCCACTTCAGTCTCAACTGCCTCTGCCCAAACCGCCCAGCCCAAGTGCCACTTTCATCCCTTTGAAAAGAAACACACTGGGCATCAGGCAATCCTTTGAAACTGTCACCCTGAAAAGTTAGATTTTAACCCAAATTTAAATCCTGGAGTTCACCCTCTCCTCAGCGAGGCCAATGCGCTTCTCCGTGCGGAACCAGCTCCCGTGGGCTGCCCCGTGGGCTCTGGCCCGCGCCGCGGAGCAGCCTCTCCTGTTTACAGCCACTGCCATGCCTTATCCTCAGGCCTTCGGGACTGTCCTTGAGGCCAAGCTTCTGAGCACACACCCTCCAAAGCGGACGTCTATGGCAGACGCGGCTGTGGGCTCCTAGAAGGCCGTTTCCCCTGCCGATGTCCGTTTCCAATGAGAACAGTGTTAACCAGAGTCCGTGTCGGAGGGAAACAGGAATGAGACATCAGTGTTAGTGCCAGCGGTCACTGTCCATCTTGTCCCTGGGACCCTAAGGCCTTTCCCCCCTTGGAGGTAAGATGGCACCAGCTCATGCTCCTGGAGGCCTAAGTGACAGCAATTAGCCACCCAGTTAGAAACAAAGCAGCATCTTGAACACGAAGGAGGGGAGCCGGTCGCAGGCCCGGAGCTCACCGAGAAGCAGGCTTCCTGTGCAGCCTTCCCGCAGGCCAACACCTCACCCGTCAAAGCTGCCGGCAGCTCCTGGAGCGCCGTCTTGTGTGTGAACATGCAACAGCCGGAGGTACAAGGAAACCAACAAGTGTGAGCAACACCACTTACCACCGAAGTTCTCAGTCACGGCCTCGGGCAAACTCACACAGCCACAAAGACAGCCACGTGAGAAGGCCTTCCTCTTTTCTGGAGGAAATCCCTGCCCTGACAGGAATGGGGACTGACCAGAAACTGCTGGGTGGGAGCCAACGGGCCGATCCTGAGCAGAGGACCTGGGCGAGGAAGGGACCGAAGGAGTGATGGGACACAAACCCTCCTTAGTCACCAGAGGTGTGCCTCTCCTCTGTGACCTCAACGGTGTGCCCCACACTGACAGGCAGACCAGGTCTCGGCACGCAGGGCACGGCCCCAGCAGATACGCACACGCGCCCAGGAGCACCACTTGTCACTGGCTCAGGGTTGTTTTATCACAACTTTGTGGGAACAAATTAAAAAGCAGTAATACCGAGAGTTCTCCCTACTTACGGGGGAAAACAGCTTTAAAAGAAAGGTATCAAATTATCAAGGTTGCAAGAAACCCTCCATCTACATACCAGTGGCAGCTGTAAGAAGCTCAGGGAGGTGGTGGTGGGGGACCTGGGCACATCTCCTGAGGAGGTGGGAGTCACACATGGGCAGAAGTAAGCTGCCATGAAGTGCCACACGCCAGGCCTGTGAACCTGCCAGGCAGGTCCACGAAGACAGCTGTCCTCTTGCCTGGAGGAAATCCCAGCCCCGAATCACCACCATCTGGGCTGCCCACCCACACCAGCCAGCTGAACAGAACTCTGCTGTCCCGTGCTTGAGAGACCCCGCGAGAGGTAGTGAAGTGGTTGCAAGGGTTTGCTTTGGGTGAGAGAACAGTGCTGACTCACTCTGGCCAAAAATACTGCTGGGCCAGGCCCTGCTGGCTCTTCATCGCTCGCACAGTGGTGATGGCTTCACGGACCCTCGGCCCTGGCTGGGCTCTCTACCTCAAAGAGCAGTTCCCACTGACAACTGGGGACTAGTGACACTCCACTCTCTCCTGCTGCCTGTGGGAACGCTGTGCAAGGTGAGGAAGTGAGGATGGGGACAGGGAGCTGCTCACTCCCTCAGCATTGGGGCCTGGAGGCTGGCATTCCCCACCACCCAGGGGGGCAGAGCTTTCTCCCTCCCCTCACTCAGGGGCCTCCCCTGGGATGACAGGCTCTAGGAGGCCATTCAGTTGGGGTTTGAATGAGACAACGGATATTCCACCCTCTTGTTTTCCACAAAATCATTCCAGTTAACAGGCTGTTTCACTTGATTTTGCCACTCAAGTGTCCAGTGAAGATGAGCGTGGCCACGTGGTCCTCCCATCATGGCTTTGCCTTCCTGCCCCTCATCCCACCCCACTGAGGCTTTCCTCTGCCCTGGCTACCAGTCCTTGGGAGGCCAAGAGCTCCCTCCAGGTTCACTCCTTACCAGGGAGACAAGAGAGCTGTTACTGTCCTGGATGCTTTCAGAGAGCCAGGCTCCTCCCTCTGCCCAAGTCCAACTTGCAAGCTGCCTGAAGCCACCTTGGTTTCCTTCCCACCTATGACACCAGAAGTCTAAACCGCTCAGAGGACTGCTTGGTCATGTCACGCCAACCCTTCTCTTTCCTGTGCCCTGAGTCACAGTGGCTGGAACTGACCTCAGATTTTGTACAAAAAACTGGGGACATAGTCAAACCTGAGCATGGGCTGGCTGGTCCCAGGAGACTCCTGCATATAGTGCAGCTTCAGCAGCTCAGCCAGGTACTGGACCACCTTGACATCTTCATTCACTAGACCCAGATTCAGCTTCAGAAAGCTTGCCTGCCGGCTGGCAACCAACTCCTCTATCTCCTTGTTGTGGGCAGGCAGGTGCAGGTGGTGGCAGAAGGTGTAGAGGAAGGCCTTGGAGCAGAGCTGGGTGAGCATGCTCTGGACGTGCAGGTAGTAGGTGCTGCCCCGCTTGATTTGAGTACGGTGGTCTGCCAGCCGGGGCACCAGGGTGCCTCTGTAAAGGGGGCAGCGTAGGGTTTTGTTGTCCAGGTCCAGGATGCTTGTGTAGCGGCTGTAGCGGCTCAGAACGTGAAGGGTGCTGGCACTGGCAGGGGATGCCACTCTGAAACACACAGGCTAAGGTCAGGAGGAAGAGCAAGGGCCAGGAAGTGGAGGCAAACACTTGGGAGTGGGGCTTCCTGTCTCTAGGCCAGCTCCCACCCGGCCAGCACTCACTGGCTTTCTGGAAGACAAATCTGCTCATCATGATCTTCAAAGGGCTCCTCACCACCCTCATGAAGTTCAAATGCCTTGGCATGGTCAAAAAGTTCCTGTATGACCTGCTGCCTGCTGACCTGTTACTAATCCAAAGACTCAACCATGCCAAGCTTTCCATGGGGCCTCGGCATCATGGCCTGTGTGCTCTGCCTGGATACCCTTCACTCCCTCTGTACATGGCTTATGCCAATGTCGGCCTTCTCCAGCCTTCCCTGATCCCTTCCTCTGCTTTTTGCTATGACCTTGGTCAAGCTCCTTAACCTTTCTGAGACTTATTTGTAAGACAGAGATAACAGTTCCTACCTCATGGGGTCACTGGAGACAAAATGAGTTGTGCTCAGAATGCCTGACACTGACCACTGTGGCGATAGCTGTCTTCTTGTCCTGCCCACTGGCCAAGAGTTTTTGCAGACCCAGGCCTGCAAAAATTTGGCCTCTTGCTCCCACTGCCTTGCACATCAGGGTTAGGCAGTCAGGGTTTGCTCAGCGAGGGAAGGAAGTCGGAGCGGTCAGTCTTAGTAAGCAGCTCCTTAAAACCCTCCTTTACATCCGTTTTTCTCTGTAGTCTGGC